TTTTATTAGAGATGTAATTTCAAAAAGTATTATGACAATTGGTAAAGTGGCAACACAGTTTATTCCCTCACACACGGGGACAAAGATAATACCTTTAAACAAGTTTCAAAATTGTTTGAATTTATTATCTATTGACACCGTTTAATGTTTTGCAGGTACTTAGAGCAAATGATACAAAATTGGATGAGCTCCTGGCTGCACTAATACTCCTGAAAAACTAAGGTAGCTTGGTGGAGATTGTTGGAAATTCGAACCCTGACATTTGTGCTACCTTATATTTAAGCTAAAGTTGTGTTTCCAAAACACGTTTTTACTTATTAAGCTGAGTTTTGGATTTGCTGACATCTGTCTCATTGCTAGCCGTTGGATAAAACTTGGAATGTGATATAAATACTTGGTTCGACTGTTCATCTGGAGACTTTTCATTCATTCTTCTCGACTTTGGATTAGGGTTTCGAGAGAGTTCTACTCTTAGGGTTTCATTGATTTGTTTATTGTAAAATCCCTCGTTCTTATTCATTATTCTTGAGTGTTCGCCTTAGAATACTTGATTTTCGTGTGTGGAAATCTGCTAGAAGTTGGATTTCGTTTGCTGTGATTAACGAGTGTTCTGATCTGGTGATTTTTGTGTGATTCAACCACGATCCATTGAACCCTTGAAGAGATAAGTCTCTAATCTGTATTTTTTGTGTTGGCTGAACTCCGTGTAACCTTTGTTGCCAGTTTTAAGGTAGTATAGTGCAACCGTGCATTATCCTTTTGTGGATACTCAACAGGGGAGTAGGTTTATACCGAACATTTGGGGCTTAGATCGAAAATCTGTTGTGTTCATTTTACTTTCTGCAGATTTAGTTTTCTGTCGATTTAAGTTTCTTGTATCTTGATTCTAATATATGTGAATCTGGGCGTTTCAGTTTGAAGAAGTCGCGATTAATTTTTTTTTTTGTTCATGATATAAAATAATAAGAGAGCTTCGAGCATCTCGTGTATATTATCATATAGATAAGTTTAATTAATTTATTATGTCTATCATTTTTTTTATTAATGTTAATTTCACTACAGAAAAATATTTCTTAAAAAAAAAAACCTTTACACGTCCATGTAAGAAGACATTTGAGTAGTAATACATAGATGTGTCAAATAAGCCGAGCCAACACTTCTTCTAACTAGCCGCGGCCTGGCATGTCCTCGATACGGTCCGGGTTGGCTCGTTTAGGTGATAGACTGTGCAAACATAATGGCCGAAGACTCACGAGGGGAAAAAATATATTATTGTGACTTTTTAATCATGATTTTCAAAGAAAATTAGCAATTAAAGGAGAAAATAAAATGATAAACGTGACTAGGATAGGAGTAGGTGAACACGTAGATTGAATTCACATGTCAAGGGGACGAGTGCAGAATTGTAAAAGAGACCACCGCAAATTGTCAATTCTTCACGTGGATTTCTCGTGCTTTATGCCTCCCTCAGTCCCTTTGCTTTGCTTATACTATTTGAATACCATTTGGTATCACAAGGAACATTGATGGCTCCATCCTATTCCCATGAAATTTGTGTTAGGACCCAAATTTAAGACATCATTATTGCCATAGTTTTCTAGATTATTGATTACAAATGAGAGAATGCCAAGTGGAAATTGATCGTGCATGTAGGTCTTTCTCCAAATTATTATAGTTCTTATTGGAGTTAATTCCCTAAATGATCACTGAACTTTTCTTAAAGTTCCCATGGGGTCATTGAACTTAAAAATTGTCCTCTTAGTTACAAAACCTTGAAAATTGGTATCCATCATTGCATAAATGATGCTAGTAAAATTGGAAGGATTTGATGACATGTCTAATAGTATGGTTTACGTGACATGCACTTGAAAAACTATAAATCAGATTTTTACATAAATCATGCTATAATTAGTTAAAAACTATAATAATCCAGCTCATAAAGTTCGAGAAATTCTGATTTCAAAAAGCTTTACATTTGGACAAAACCACGAATTCAATAGTCATTAAAAAATATTCAAATACACATTAGACAATTTGTGAATAAAAAACGATCGTATACCTACTAACTCATGATTAACATCATCAAATTCTTTCAATTTTGCAAGCATCGTTTACGCAGGGGGTGCCAATTTTCAAAGTTAAGTGACTTTCGTGTGCAGTTTTTAAGTTCAATGACCCCATGGAAAGTTTGAGAAAAGTTCGGTAACCATTTAAGGAATTTACCCTTATTGATATGAAGTATAATTCTTGCCATATGCTTCTTATTGTAGTTTAAGTTGTATTTATTGAGTGAAAACTATAGAACTTTTTTTTTTCTGAATCATTTGATCTCCTTTCAATTTTTCATTCTTGGATTTCTGCAAGTTTAATCATGTGATGACTCCATGAATACGAGTAAAGACTTGAAGAACATACTCACATCCATATGCACAATACGTCGATCTTTGGCAGCCTATCGGTTTTGTATCATGGAACAAGGTACTTTGTTCTATCTAGAACCAATAGTCGATTGCCTACAAAATCTTCTAGTTGTAATAGTATTTATCAAGTCTACTATTTGTAGGACAATATCGAGTCAAACCTAATCCTTTAAGCAACAATCCCCATCCCCGTTTCCACTGGATTTGTTTTCTAGAGTACCCTAAAATAAAATGTGCATGAAAGACAATAATTATTGTGAAAAATATAACTACAATGAAAGATGAAGACAAGAGAATTGAGGCTTTTCCTATCTATCATTGGTGCACAAGTCTAGAATTTTGAAGCCAATTGTTTGCTCCATAGTCTTATGATGAAATGATGTTTGGTTTGGTTGGTCCTAAGAGGAGCTGGACGTGAATTGTTAACTGGACCTACAAGTTACTGGTTCAAGGAGCAAGTGTTTGCGACTTGACCCTCATGCCCCCAACCAAATTCATCACAAATGACACTGGTCCCAACTTCAATCGCTTTATCGCACAACCCCTATCAGCATCAGCCCCTTTCTTCCCTCTCCCTATCAATTTTTTTCTGGAATAATGCTAGCTGGGCCTGGGAAGATAGTATTTGCACTGTACATGATACTAGCCAATTAATTAACTCTAGCTGCATAATATTCAGTACAAGATTTTTTAGTTTAATGTCAAAATGATTAATTAAATTATTAATATAATCATTTTCCAAGGCAGAGAGAGATTCTTGATTGAACATTGAAATTGGAATTTATAGTAATTGGGTTCTATAAGCCAAGATTGTATTATTCTTCGGCAAATACACATGCATGACATAATTTGGCAATGATAATGAAAGAGCCCTCTCTTTACAACACCATAGTCAAGGAAGAATACACGAAATACATGCTTTTACACTAAAAACTATTTTTTTTTTTTTTGTCAACTTATCATCAAGCATCTGCAAAATGCTGGAGATTTTGAGATGGAGATTGGTAACTTTTTGATGCCACAGGGAAATAGCTCCCACTAGACATGGGTACTGGGAACCCTGTCCCGGTTGGCCTATTAGCAGCGGC